GCTGCTTTAAACATCTGTGTGCAGGTTTTTGTGTGGACATAAGTTTTCAACTCCTTTGCATAAATACCATTGCGCAGGACTGTCGGTTCATGTGGTAAGAGTAAGTGTAGTTTTGTAAGAAGCTGCCAAGCTGTCTTCCAAAGTGGCTGCACCACTTTGCGTTCCCACCGTCAATGAACAAGAGTTCCTGTTGCTTATCTTATTTTTTAGGTGTAAAATTAATAAAGACTTCTTATGGAATTTTAAATTCCATAAGATTTTATTTATTTATTTTAATGGAATAGTCATTAAAAACCTCTGCCTCACCCCCAACTTTCCACTCTGGCCTGATTTCACAGAAGTGATCACCTTACATCTATGTCTTTCCAAGCATTTTTACTATATGCTGTCAACCTACATAAGCTCAAAATTTATTACAGTTCTGTGAAAATTAAAGATTCAATTTAAACATTCTGACCTAGCGCAAGAACAATAATTTCTCTTCACAGTTTCTAAATCGGCCTGCACTGACATGACAGGTACATTTGTGGTACTAGAGAACTGCTCACTTGGAGGAGCAGGGTCATTGTTGGCTCCCTCTGATGTGGTCACTAAGTCCTTAGCTGTTTGCTCTGCCCTAAAGGTAAATGACTAAGACAATGGTGCCTCTTCCCTTAAAACCTTGGTCTTCAAGAGCTGGTCATTGGTGCTGATGCAGGCTCATGGTCCATCCCCCCAGATGAACCACTTGAAGAAGATGCTCTCAGAAGTGGACTTAAGATTGTTGCCTTTGCTTATAAATTTTTATATCTAATATTTCGTGTGTCCTTACAGCTTCACATAATCATTTGCAAAAAATATGGTAATGACGGGGTGTAACTGGCTTTCAAGGAAACAAAATGACCTGAGGATTCCCACTGGCATCTCAGCTTTCATTGCACACAGGAACACAGGCACACACGCATGCACACCAATTTTAGCATCTGCTCAGAGCAGAATGATGGGAGGATCTTTGCAGCAGGGATCACGTGAGAAACACTTGTTCTCTCAAGATGCTTCAGTTTGCTTACATCTTCAGCAGTTCCAGAGAATGCCCTTTCCTGCAAGCAAACATTAGGCAGTGCGAGGTGGTATTGTTATTTGCGGAAAAACAGAATCAAGGCTTTTGCTGTGGTTCAGGCAGCCTTTTTGTTTGTTTTCACATGTAATAGCTGTTTTGTATAAGTAGGTGATGATGCATTTCCTGAATCTCTTGGAGGCGTGTTTTGGCTGAAGCAGAATGATGAACGTGGACGTGGCCCACAATCTTTCTGCTTTTGGCAGTCTTTCTGTTACGGCGCACAAATCAGGGACATAAACAAAGCCTTGTGCAATCATGACTCCTTAATCAATGGAGCCTTCGCCACATTTGCTCCTTTGTCAATGGCAAATGTGTAGGTTATTGCCTTTCTGCTTTTTCATTCCATAAATACTTCTTCAATCCAATTCACTATGAGGTGAGTTTTGCAAGACTCCAAAATCTCTCAAGAAGCTAGCAAAGCAGAAACTTTTACACCACCGCACTGTCAGATTTAGAAAGACTTCTGGTTATTTCCTTACACCCAAGCCTCTGATACACAAAATAAAAGAATCACACATTTCTATCACCCAGCATTTTGTGTAAGCAGAATATAATTCGGGAAGAAAGTTTTTTGATAACATGCTTTCAACAAGGAACTTGAGACCTAGGAGTCATGGCATGGGCAAATCTCAAAAATCCCTTATTGCCAAATACAAAAATGATTGGTTTTCTGTAAACAATCATTTTGCAAGCTTTTATTGACCTGCCAGCCTCTGTAGAATCAAAATATGCATATAAAGTCTGGGTTTGAAGTTTGAATGATGAGAGGAAAATGCATTTTGATTTATTGTGTTTTCACTACCGTTCAGTTCAAACTATTTTCTGATTTCCAGTGTGATTTCTTCTTTGGCCCATACGTTACTTAGAAGTGCTTTGCTTAACTTCCAAACGTTTGGGGTTGTAAATTATCTTTCTTAATGATTTCTAGCTTAATATACTCTATATGGTTGTAATTTTTTGAAATTAGTTGAGACTTGCTTTATATCCTAGCATATGATCAATTCTGGTAAGCAATCAATGTGCTCTTGAAATGAGTGTGTATGTTGCAGTGTTGGATAGATTGTTCTATTTATGGCATCAATCACATCGAGTCAGTTAATTATGTTGTTTAAATACTTGGTATCCTTACTGATTACCTGTTTTTATCTGCTTGTTCTATCTGAGAGGAATGTGTTAAAATCTCTGCTTGCCATTTTAGTTTTGTTAATCTTATCTGCTTATATTTTGAGGCTATGTTATCGGGTGCGTGCAGATTTAGAATTGCTATGTCATATCTTCCTCATAGATTGAGCCTTTTATGATTTTTAAATGTCCCCATTGATGACTAGTAAGACTTCTTGCCTTAAAGTTTTGTATCTGTAGCTAGATAACTAGATGAGATTCTTTTGGATAGTCTTTGAAAATCAGTCTATCTATCTATCTATCTATCTATCTTCAAAGACTAACCAAAAGAAGATAATATATAGAGAAGGTCATATATAGAGAGGATATATATATATATATATATATATATATATATATATATCCTTTTACTTTCAACTTTTTCATATTCTTATGTTTAAGGTGTATCTCCTTATAAGAAGCACATAGTTATGTTTTTGTCTGACTAGTTTTTTTTTTAATTAAAACATTTAGTATTTTACATTTAATATGCCAAGCTACAGAATAGTTCCATTACCCATGAAATTTCTTTATGCTTCTGCTTTATAACCAAACCCTCCCCTAACCCTTAACCCCTGGAAGCCACTGATCTGTTCTCTGTCCGTACATTTTTACCTTGTTTAGAAGGTAAACTGGAATCACACAGAATGTCACTTTTTAATAAATTTATTTATCTATTTTTATTTATTTATTTTTGGCTGCATTGGGTCTTCATTGCTGTGCACAGGCTTTCTCTAGTTGTGGCGAGCAGGGGCTTCTCACTGCGGTGGCTTCTCTTGTTGCAGAGCACGGGCTCTAGGTGTGCAGGCTTCAGTAGTTGTGGCACGCAGGCTCAGTAGTTGTGGTGCATGGGCTTTGTTGCTCGGCGGCATGTGGGATCTTCCCGGACCAGGGATTGAACCCGTGTTCCCTGCATTGGCAGGCGGATTCTTAACCACTGCACCACCGGGGATGGGAATGTCACTTTTGAAATCTGGATTTTTCACTTGGCATAATGCATCTGATATTCATCCATATTGTTGCGTGCAGCAAGAGTTTTTATGTTTGTTTTGTTTTGCTGATCAGTATTTCTTTTACAGATGTACCATAATTTACCGACTCATCATTTGATGGACACTTGAGCACTTTCCAATTTTTGGCAAAATTTTCACAAAGCTGCTAAAACCATACAGATTTTCATGTGAACATAAGTTTTTATTTCTTTTGGGTAAATATCTAGGAGTGGGCTTGTTGGATCACATGAAAAGCATATGTTAACATTATCAGAAACTCCTAAACTATTTTTCAGAATGACTGAGCTATTTTGCATTCTCACTAACAATATGTAAGAATTCCAATTGCTCTGCATCTTTGTCAGGTTTTTTATTTTAGCCATTCTAATAGTTGTGTAGAGGTATCGCATTGGGGTTTTAATTTGGATTTCTCTAATGACAAATGATGCGTTATTTGCCATCTGTATAGCTTCTTTGGAAAAGTGTCTGATCAAATCCTTTGCCTATTTTTAACATATGAAAATCAATTTTAAAGTTACTACATAAAACTAATTGTATTTCTATAGACCAGCTATGAATAATTGGAAATCAATATTTTTAAAACAATATCATTTACAATATCACCAGACAAATGAGGTGCTTCGGTATAAATTTAAAATACTTGGGTACAAATCTAAAATATGTGCAGGATGTGTTTACTCAAAACTTTTATAAAACACTGATGAAAGAAATCAAAGATGACTTAATTGAATGAAAAGATGTAGTGTGTTTATGGATTGAAAGACTGACTATTAAGATGACAATTCTCTCAAATTTAAATTCAGTGCAAGCCTATTCAAAAGATTGGCAGAATTTTTATAGACATCCATAAGCTGATCCCAAGATTTATATGGGAAGGCAATCAACTTTTGGTTTTATTGATATTATTGATTTTGCTGTTTTCAATCTTATTAATATATGCTTTTATCTTTATTACGTCCTTTTTTCTGTTTAAGATTAATTTGCTCCTTTTTTTAAGTTTCTTAAGAAACTAATGATAGAAGCTTAAATGATTGATTTGAGACCTTCTAAAAGGAAAGACTTCTCAACTGCATGTTTGAGATGAATTGACCTTCCTTATTCAAGTAACAGCAGTGACCGTTTAAGAACCCACTGTATGTCAATGGCTGTCATAGTTACTTTATTTATTTATTTATTTATTGGCCACACCACATGGCTTTCAGGATCTTAGTTCCCTGACCAGGGATCGAACCAAGGCCCATGGCAGTGAAAGCGCCGAGTCCTAACCACTGGAGCACCAGGGAATTCCCAGTCCTCGTTACTTTAAATGTTCACTTTCCCAAAAGCTTTTAAGTGTCTGCTCTCTGTGTGATGTTTCACCAATATTCATTAGTGTGTTCACTTCTCATCAGAAGACTGATAGGATGTAGGAACTGAGACTTATAACAACTTGCCTATGTTGACGCAAGTGGAGAAATTGAGATTTGAACCTAATAATAACGAATGAAGTATTTTTTCAAGTCAGTGCATTGATTTGTTCTACAGATGCTGGTTGAGCACCTGGTCTGTGCCAGCACTGTGCTCAATCCCTGGGGCCACAGGGTGAATGAGAGCCTGTGATCCCTGCCCTCAGGAACTTTCAGTCTATGGAGGATACAGATGCAGGACACAATTACACCAATAGGTATGGGGTTAGTGTCATCTAATCAATGGTTTGTACAACATTAATGTGGTTCTCTGCTTCCTAGGTTTATTTTGATGTTGTGAATCGCTTAACAGGACAAATTGTAGATAAATCCTTGATTTTCAACATCAGGATCAGCGATGTGAATGATCATGCACCCCAGTTCCCTGAGAAGGAATTTAACATCAGTGTGAAGGAGAACCACACTGCAGGTATGCACGGCGGGGCCTCGGGACTTCCTGTCCTCTCTGTTCCATGAAGGTTTTCCTGCTTGCATAGTGACAGGGCACTTGGTCCTAGCTGTCTTCAGGGAGACTTTTCCCTGTTCACATCCCAAAGGTTGCAGGGTGTGGATTAGAGCAAAATGCTTTGAGGTCTGCAAGCCTCATTTTGTATTGGCAATGAAATGATGTGAAAATTGTCAGTTGGAAGAGCTGATACATAAATATCAATCTAAAATAAAGCCAAATGAGGGAAGAAGAAGCAGAGGTGGGTGGTAGGATCCTGAATATCTCTGCAAATTTCTCATCTGTAAAGTGGCAGCAAGATGGCATCTAAAATTTCTATGAATCTGTGAGTCTTTAAACCCAAACCACCCTCACTAAAATGTGCATCTATTTTAATAACACAAAAGCATTATTTATTTTGCAAAACTGTCTCTAGGAAATTTGGAAAATTCCAAGAAACAAAAAGATTGAAACGGAAAGCATCTCTGATACTACCAATTAGAGGTAAGTACAACTAATGTTTTAGTTTATATTCTTTCAATATCTTTCTTTGCATTTTGTATGTGTGTATGTATATACCCATGGTGTGTTATATTTATATATGTGTATATATTCACAGATTTATACATATAATTACAAATGTGTACTCGTATATCTACATGCTTTTTTTCATCGTTATGGTAGTACAAAATGTATATGTGTATATATCGAATATTTATAAATATATGGGCATGCTTTTTTATATGTGCATATTTATGAATTTTCTCTTTAAAAATGCAAATTTGCTGTTTGTAACCTAACAGTGCTCTCCTACAGCATTCTGTTGCGTCATATTTTATTTTATGGTGTGCTTTAAGGTTTTTAACCAACCTTTTTGCCACCTTCTGCTATTTTTATAAAACATGCTTCAGTGAACATATCTGAGCTAAATGTGTGCGCCATTCAAGTATTTACTAAGCACAGATTCAGATAGGTAGAATTGTTGGTTCAAACTGCACACACAACTTAAGTGTTGCAATTTATCCGTCTCCCAGCAACATATGAGAGGGCTCAGTGTTCATCTCTGATTATTAAGTGCTTGAACACACGATAGCTTTCTTGGCCATTTTTATTTCTTTTATCAGTTGCTTGCTCTTTTCTTTGTCCATTTCTGCTGGTGTGATTGTCACTTTTCTACATATATATTAACAATGTTGATGTCTCTGTCTGCCAATATGTATTTCAAATATGTTTTCCTGGTTTATCATTTCCTTTTAAATTTCACTTATAGTTTTTTTGCCACACTTTAAAAAATCGATGTACCAGTTTTGTCCTTTAAGCCTGCTACATTTGCAATCATGATTAGAAAGTGCCTCTTGACCTTATGACTATTTATCCCTCTTTATTTTGTCCGGTATGTCTACAGCTTGACTTTGTACTTAATCCACTCTGGCGTATGCCTCAATGCCATTTAGCAAAGAATCATGCTCCTACTGGTTTGATAGGCTGCCTTTGGCCGACAGTAACAATTTAAAACATTCTTTCCAAGTCAACCTATTTTTGAGATGTTAACAGTGGATTTGGATCAAGAAGATACTCCAAATTCTCATGTCCTTTACTTCCTTGTTTCCCAAACACCGTTACTGAGAGAACGTGCCTTCTGGATTGACCGTATTAGTGGAGAAATACGACCGTCAGGATGCTTAGATTATGAGGTTATGCGCACTTTATTGTTTTGGAAAAATGAAATGGGTTCTCGCTCTCTGAGCCCCAGACTTAGGGTTTGTGTTTGCAGTGAGAAACCCTCTGTGGCTAGACTGGCTACTGAAATTGCTAAAATGGAATATTTCTGTATTAACGTTCCCCTTTCCTGTGTCTGAAGGGCTTGACTTTCCTTTTCCTCTCCACTTAGACTGCTCCTCGGCTTGCATTACTAATCAGAGCGGAGGATTGTGGAGGACCACCGTTGCCATCCACGGCCATGGTTCACATACGTGTGCGAGACGGCCACAACCACGTGCCACGTTCAGCCGAGACTGTGTAAGGCGCCTGCGCGGCCTCGGCTTCTAAGTCCCCACACAGATGGCCTCCACGTCCTAGGCTTGGTTTTGCTGAGGGAATTCCCCATATCACCCAAGATGTGTGCAATGCTCCAAAATAACGTAAATTAGAATCAAGATGTCAACTATATTGATAGAGAACCAGTTAATAACAGTCCCGTGAGCTTGCATTTTTACTATTTTGTGCCAGAAACTGTGTTCAGAGCATTTACGTGGATCCTTAGGTTCTTACTGGTTGGAGCTGCTGCGTGATTTCCATTCTGCAGGTAAGAGAACCGAGGCTCGGGGAGGACGGAGGATCCCTGCTCCATCCACGTCAGGGGCTCTCAGTTTCCACACTGTTGACATTTGGGGCTGGAGGAAGGGTACGGGGGAGGGTAGGGGAGGCTGCCCAGTGAATTGTAGGATGCTGAGCAGCCTCCCTGACCTCTGCCCACTAGATGCCAGTAGCACCCCCAGTTGTGACAGCTGAAAATATCCGCAGACCTCGCAGAACTGGCCCTGGGTGAGAAGTCTGGGCCTGAGCTTTGTGCACAGTGTTCAGAGCTCTGAAATAGGAAAGATGTGTAGGTGGGTTTGGGCCTGGCTTTTTCCAGCTCACCTGATTTATATATATTGGGTTCCACACAGGATTTCACATGCTACTAGGTCCTCAGGCTTGAAGAAAGTGTTGGCACCCACTGCTCCCATCAGTTTGGAAACACCGTACCACTTACAATATGGAAGATCGCTACGAGAGAAAATAAAACCCCAGCATGATCTACCTTCAATTTCTTAATTTTTCATCCTTCCATATGAACTTTTAAAAGGAAAATGTCCATTGTATTTGTGTCCTTCTCCTGACCTCTTTCAAGGAGGCCTTTCCTGATGACCTGGTTAAATTCCCAACCTGACCCCTGCAACATACACACACTCAGTTCTCAGGTCCCTGGTGATGGGATTTTTGCTGTCTTGTTCACAGCACCTAAACCAGGATCTGGTACACAGTAGCCTTTGTTGAATAAATAAATGCTACAATTATTTTTTTAAACTGTCATTTAAAAAAATTAATTGTATAGACCAAAGTTGAAATGTTTTCAATGAAAGCATCTCACCTAACAGTATATAATAACTGAAACATATTTATTATGTTTGAGTCTTGTTTCAAAATCCTTCTCTGGCTTAGTAAAAAGCTGTGCTCCCAAAAGTAGGGCTGGAGAAAATATACGCTGTTATTTTGATGTGCTCATCTAGAGAAATTATCTTGTCACCAAAAGTGTTGAATAAGGAGCTATTTGAAAGATCTATTATATGTTAGAAAAATGATCGTCTTAATTGAAATAATCATAAGAGCTCTATTTTAGGAGAAGAGTTAGATTTTTTTAGGCAGCATAAACTAAGGTACGTATTATTATTTTAAAACTTCTTTAAAAAGTAGTGCATCACGTTGAATTGAAGGGTACTTTTAAAGTTACTCAGCTATTCAGTTATTTAGACACCAAGTCACAGGGACCAGGGAGGAGATGTTTGTTACTGATGCTCGTTCTGCTGTAACAGGCAGTTTCAGATCCTTAGGGGTCAAGTTCAATCACAAGACAAATATCCAGGTTGTTGTCTCCAAGGCCTATGTTTTCTTTCTTCTTTCTTTTTTTTTCTTTTTCAATTGCATTTCTTTTTCTCCATGACACTGAAATAATGATTGCTGCTGTCAGTATAACATTTAGATAGCGGATGGCCGAGCCAGCCAGGGCGTGTTATGTCTTGAGGTCCAAGATGGTGATTCGCCATTTACGTCAGCATGGAGAGTGAAGTTCAATATATTAAATGGCAATGAAGGGGGACATTTTGACATTTTGACTGATCCTGAGACCAATGAAGGGATTTTAAATGTAATCAAGGTAAATGCATCCCCGCAGGTAGCTGTTGAGGCCCTTTCTGTAGGATTCCTGACAATGAAATAGGCGCCAACAGTGGTGATGGTCCGTGTGTTCCGACCCCCATGGCCAGTGAGGAAGGCAGAGCTGCACAGTGATTTCTGCCATGGACCCTCAGCCCTTTTGCCTCCATGGCTCCTCCCACCAAAATTATACATATCAATATTAAAGTTTTTTTTTAATTCTTTAATAATTTATTTTTGGCTGCGCTTGGTCTTCATTGCTGTGTGCAGGCTTTCTCTAGTTGTGGTGAGCAGGGGCTACTCTTCGTTGCGGTACGTGGGCTTCTCATTGCGGCAGCTTCTCTTGTTGCAGAGCATGGGCTCTAGGCGCGGGCTGCAGTAGTTGTGGCATGCAGGCTCAGTAGTTGTGCCATGCGGGCTCTAGAGCGCAGGCTCAGTAGTTGTGGTGCACAGGCTTAGTTGTTCCACGGCATGTGGGATCTTCCCGGACCAGGGCTCAAATGCATGCCCCCTGCATTGGCAGGCAGACTCCTAACCAGGGAAGTACCGCCAGGGAAGTCCCTTAAAGATTATTTTTGATATGACTAATTACTCCAACATTAATTTTTTTTGTTTTAGACAAAATATAATAGATTTATATAGTCCCTAACATTTTTTTCTCCTGTTGTGATAAAAGCACTTAAAATATTTTCTCTAACCCTATGAGTTCATTGTTTTTCCTCCTGGGTTTGAAAGAAATTAGAACATTTGCACGGACCCGTAAAAATATTGTGGGCTCCTGGCAGTTTGCCTGCTGTGACTAGTGGAGAGTTGGCCCTGCAGTAAAGTATTATTGTCTCATTTACTGATAAGGAAACCGAAGCACAGAGAGGTTGGGTTGTTTTCAGGAAGTCACACAGCTGGAATAGCGGTTCAGACTGGGGCAGTCTGACTCCAGTGCCTTTAGTCTTAATTGCTCTCAGTAGACCCTAGAATGACCAGTGCCTCTGGTGCAGTGCAGGTGAGCCAACCTGGGGGTCAGGTTCAAAGGCAGATCCGAGTTAGTAGGTCTGGGGTGGGGCCCGTTTCTGCCTGTCAGTGTAACAAGCTCCCAGGTGATGCCGACGGGCCACATCCACACTGTGAATAGCAAGGCTCTGTGGATTCTCTACACCAGCCTGGGGCTGAATTCAGCCTGGGGCTGAATTTCCCAAATATTCCGAGTCTTTCAATCCTTTTAAATCACTGACCACTTTGTACCCTGCATAGCTATGATCATTAATATCTATATTTCCCTAAGCTCCCCTAATTTTTTTGCAGTAGAGTTGTCACATTAATGCTTTATTAGGTTATGGTTTTCGTTGCATTTTTCATTACCCTCTGATGGATGGTGGCTCTTTTCAACCAGGAGCGGGGAGGGGAAAAAAAGAACTCCATAAGTGATCTGAAAATGGGCTGATGACTGTCTTTTGATCGTTATCAAAGACGATGTAAATAATAAATGAAGCACAAAAGCCACAGGCGCTGGGTTGACAGTGACACGCGTGCTGAGCAGGCTTCATGTGGCCAGCAGAGCTGCGGGTGCTAATGCAATCTTCTCTCTGCGGCGGCCGCCTTTGGACTGTGAGACTCAGCCAGTGCGGAGCCTGGTCGTGGCCGTGGAGAACAAGGAGCCGCTCTTCTCCTGCGAAGGGGGGCGGCTGCAGAGGCCCCGCAGGCTGCGACCAGCACCACCGCGAGTGTGCGGGTGGCCAGCGTCAACGACCCGGCCGCCTTCCTCCCCGGGACCTTCATCGTCAGTGAAGGCGTCGGCGCTGGGCCTGGGACTCAGGTGGGAATTTTTAATGCTACTGATCCCGACAGAACTGCCAGCCGGATAAGGTGGGGAGACAGGAGCGGGACGGGTGGCGGGTTATGCAGAATTGGCCACATGCCCCAGAGGATCCCTGTTGGAAATTAGCTCCTTTCATGTGCTCCTGAGGACGACTCCATTCCAGTTATGAGAATACCAGAAGCCACCCAGAACACACTTCCCCAGGTTCAATGCCTTCTTGTTTCTATAGCGGTCTCTGACCCCCAAAGGTGGAATCCACTTGTCCGTTTCCTTTGCATTTAGCACAAAATTCTTTTACAGTTTTTTCTGGTATTAAAAGAATTTGTTATGTATTTCTAGTTCCCCTTTATCAAAGGTTGTAAACTGGCAGCCCTCTGGCTTCTGGGCGACAGAAGTGTTTTCTTTTTCATTGTGGTAAAATGTATGTAAAGTTTACCGCTATCAGCATTTTCAGGAGTACATTCCTATTGTACTTCACAGTGTACCCTCGCCACTGTCCATCTGCAAAATCTTTCCATCCGTCTCTTTTCATCTTCCTAGACTAAAACTCTGCCCCCGGTAAGCAATAACTTCCCGTTCCCCCCACCCCCAGGACCTGGCACTACATTCAACTTTCTGTCTCTATGAATGTGACTGCTCTAATTATGTCATATAAATGGGATCACACAGGATTTGTCCTTTTGTGACTGGCATATTTCACTTAGCATAACGTCCTCAAGTTTTACCCATGTTCTAGCGTGTGCCCCAGCATTTCCTTCCTTTTAAAGCTGAGTAATATTCCATTCTATGTATATACCACACTTTATCTATTCATCCCTTGATGGACACTTGGGTTGCTTAGTGTTTTGTTTTTAAAAACACAGTTTCGATGATCCCCAGGAAGGTGGCAGAGTGGGAGGCACAGGAATCTCTCTCCCCATCCAGACAGTCGTGCTGGCAGAATCTGTCTGATGTACCTATTTTGGACCTCAGGAATCTGTTGAAGGCTTGCACCTTCCAGGGGAAGGCAGACCGTAAACTGTGGTTAATTTTGGTCCATTTCAACTCTTAGCACAGTACCTTCCCCAGCGGCTACCCTTCCCCACCTCCAGCCCCACGGAAGGCAGCTGTGCACGTGTCTCTGGAATCGTGCACACTGCTTGTGGGAGCCGGGGTGGGCAAAAAATTAACAGAAGTTAATTCCCTTCTTATCAGTAATTACTTTATATATAGAAAGATTAAACTCTCCAATCAAAGGACAGAGATTGGTAGAATGGATAAAAACACTTGATCTGACTCTATGTTGTCTTCAAGAGGCTTTCTTGAGATCCAAAGACACAAACAGGTAACCTAACACCATATACAAAAGTTAACTCAAAATGGATCAAGGACCTAAATGTAAGTCCTAAAATAAGACAACTCTTAGAAGAAAACATAGGACAAAAGCTTCACAACACTGAATTTGGCAACGATTTCTTGGATATGACACCAACGGCACGGATAACAAAAGAAAAGATAGTCAAATCAGACTTCATGAAAATGGAAACGTTTTGTGCACCAAAAGACACTATCCACAGAGTACAAAGCCAGAATGGGAGAAAATATTGGCAAGTCATATATCCGATAGGGGATTAATATCCAGAAAATACAGAGAACTTCTAAAACTCAACAAGAGTAAGAACAAAAAAAAAAACCCCATGATTCAAAAATGGGCAAAAAACTTGAATAGACATGTCTCCAAAGAAGATATACAAGTGACCAATAAGCACATGAAAGATGCTCAACATCACTGATCATCAGGGAAATGCAAATCAAAACTACAGTGAGATACCACCTCACACCCAGGAGAATGGCTACCGTAAGAAAAACAGAAAACAACTGTTGGGGAGAGTGTGAAGTAATTGATACCCTTGTGTACCACTGATGAGAATGTACAATGGTACAGCCTCTGTGAAAAACAGTATGGCAGTTCCTCAAAAGTCAAAAATAGAATTATCGTATGATCCAGCAATTCCACTTCTGGGTATGTACCCAAAAGAACTGAAAACAGGGTCTCAAAGAGTTATTTGTACACCCACACTGATAGCAGCATTATTCACAATAGTTAAAACGTGGAAGCAACCCAAGGGTCCACTGATGGATGAATGGTTAAGCAAAATGTTCTCTATACGTGCAATGGAGTATTATTCAGCCTTAAAAAGGAAGGGAATTCTGCAACATGCTACAATATGGATGAACCTTAAGGATATTGTGCTAAGTGAAATGTGCCCACCACAGAAAGACAAATTCTATGTGATTCCACTTATAGGAGGTACTTAGAGTAGTCAAAAGTCATAAAGACAGAAAATATAATGCCAATTTCTAGGGGCTGGCGGGAGGGGAATGGAGAGTTATTGTTTAATAGGTACAGAGCTTCAGTTTTACAAGATTAAAAGAGCTATGGGAATGGATGGTGGTGATGGTTGTACAGCAATGTGAAATATTTAATACCACTGAAATGCACACTTAAAAATGGTTAAGGTGGTAAATTTTATGTTATGTGTATTTTACTGTAATAAAAAAGAAAAAAATAATAAAGCTGCCGTCATTTAAAAATCAAGAGATTAAGCTAACAACCCAAATTATCTGGTTGTTCTTGAGAAAGAGGAAGATTCGGCATCACTGGGTCTGTGTCCCACGAGGTCACGATCATCTGGGGCATAGAGAGGGTCCTGCATCATGTCCCTTTCACCTCTCACTCAGCGGTTGGCTCCAATCCCCATCCGAGCAGCTCGCTCATTTCTGCCACCTGCTCGGACCGTCGCGGGCATGAGAGTTTGAGATTCTTCCTTAGAGCAATGCTTCTCAACCATTGAGAAGGACCATATTTTGCTTCTTTCAATTTCCAATTCACTGTGGAGTAATAATTTTATAAAATATTAAAAAATAAATTACAAAAAATGATTATGTGCTTGGGGGTCACAGTAATGCCACTGACTATAAAAGTCCCCCAACACTTGCTCTCAGTTTCTGCTATTGTCTCATTGTGGGCAGCTAACCAAGAGCTCCAGACCAGCACAGGTCCACGCAGGTGCATGCTGAGTTAGAATAAGAATCACCTGGAGGGCCTGTTAAAATGCCCGTTGCTGGGCCTCACCCTTGTGGTTTCTGATTATGAGGTCTGGCGTGGGGACTGAGATTTGCATTTCTAGCAAGTTCCAAGGTGATGCTGAAGCTGCTGGTCCCTGGACCTTGCTTTGGGAACACCCATGTAGAGCCTGTATCTGATTCAGTGCTGTATTCCCATCCCTACAGTATGGTTGGTCGCTTTAAAAACCATGACCTGTCAAATGTCAGAGAGATTGTTACTGACCTTTTCCAAAGCCTTTACACAGCATGAAAGAGAAGGCACGGAAACTCCCTTTCTCTGGCCCTTTGGGGGAGCTGCACCTTTTCTGTGTTTGCCTGTGGGTACAGGCCTTTCCTTCTGCGGGTCCCTCAGAAGGAACAATAGCTGTGCTTGGCATTCCGGCTTGGTTCCAATGGCTGCCTTTTTCTTTTTTTTTTTAAAAGGGTTTTTATTTTTTTATAAATTTATTTTATTTATTTATTTTTGGCTGCGCTGGGTCTTTGTTGCTGCACGTGGGCTTTCACTAGTTGCGGTGAGCGGGGGCTACTCTTCATTGGGGTGCTCGGGCTTCTCATTGTGGTGGCTTCTCTTGTTGCGGAGCACGGGCTCTAGGTGCACGGGCTTCAGTAGTTGTGGTGAGCGGACTCAGTAGTTGTGGTGAGCGGACTCAGTAGTTGTGGTGAGCGGACTCAGTAGTTGTGGTGAGTGGGCTTAGTTGCTCTGCAGCATGTGGGATCTTCCCGGACCGGGGCACAAACCCGTGTCCCCTGCGTCAGCAGGCGGACTCTCAACCACTGTGCCACCAGGGAAGCCCCCGGATGGCTGCCTTCTGATTCCATCAGGTCTTGGGGAATTCCGGAAGGCTAGGTGTGCCCGCGCATTAAAATGGCATCAGGTGTGCACAGGTGAGGGAGGATGTAGACGACCACGTTGCCTGACTGGATTACCCACGTTTGAATCCTTTGGGCTCCAGGGTAATAAAGAAAGTCCTGTGCTTCTCTGCAAGGGCAGGCTGGTTTTAATAGTAAGCCACCAGCACCTGCAGGCAACTGAAGCTGGCTCTTTTCCAGGACGAAATGTTTTCCCTAAGGTGGACAGAGTTAAGTGCAGCCCGACAAGGACAGGGCTCTTCTTGCTCAGTGAATACCGATTTAACACTGTAGTCTGGCCTCAGATCCCTGGGCCTTCGTCAGATTCGTGAACACTCCTAACTTCCTAAATTCACGATAGGAATTGTGTCTGCTGTGATACATTTGGATTTGTCTCTCTTGATGTAACGTGTTAATTTTAAAAATTGCATGTGTTTTCTTCTACAAGATACGAACTGGCTTATGATCCGGCAGATTGGGTCAGTGTAGATGAGCTCTCAGGGGCAGTACTCACCAGGAAGCAGTACTCACCAGGAAGCAAGTTGACCGCGAATCCCCTCGTGTGAATGAAAGCTTTTACATGATCATCGCTCATACTTGTTGATGATGGTAAGGGTTGACCCAAAATTGTCAGGGGGGTGGGGATGTGTTTTCTTGCTTCTTGAGGGAAAATGACATGGTTGACTGTCTTCAGAACACTGGGAAAAATATAAAATAAACCTTTTTATCACTGTGAATCCATACTGGTGATTATTTTTGATGATAATTCTTGAAACAGCAAACTGAGGGGCTCTGCCGTGGAAAGAGGGGCAGCATTCGTTCAGAGATGATGACGATTAGGGCACTGCCACTGTCCCAGCGTCTTTTTCACCTGTTCATAAGACAACTCTCTAGCTCTTTGTCAAAGCCACATGCATATGGTAAACATTAGCACAGTTTCCCTGTACTTGGACCAGCTTATAAGCTCATGTAAATGTGACCATACAGGACAAATTTGTTATAAACCAGGATGCATGGTCTCATGAGCATGTTTTAACACTTTTCTCTGTAATCTCCCAAGGCTGGATTTCTAAACCTACCAAAGCATAAAGCTGAATAAATAAAAAATTTCAAATAACTTTAGTGATTGTATTTAAGAAAAATCTGTAAAAACCCAGGTTCCCAGGGCTATATGGTTGTATATCCCATTTGTATAATTAACAGTAGAATGTTGGTTAGGGAGATATCAAATCTGTGTTCCTAATTGGTGTTAGGTGAGGAGGGCTCCATGATTCTGTTACGGATGGTTGCACGAATGGCACTTTTCTCAGTGGAATGGCTTTAAAAGATTAAGCTTTTATTTTGAGATAATTGTAGACTAACATGCAGTTTTTAGAAATAACGTAGTGGCACCCTGAGTTCCCGTTGCCCAGTGTCCCCCAGTGGTACCACCTTGCGAAACCCTAGTGCAGGATCACGACCAGGACTACAAGATGCAGCACCAGTCCGGGTGCAGACATTTTCATCACCACGTCACACCCATCCCCCCCTCCCTGCCCCCCCGACCCCCGCCCCCCAGCCTCCTGCCTTAACACCTTGCATGACTGATGGTTGTTTTTGGTTTTTTTTAAAGTAATTTATTTATTTTTGGCTGTGTTGGGTCTTTGTTGCTGTGCACGGGCTTTCTCTAGTTGCGGCGAGCGGGGGCTAACTCTTCGTTGTGGTGCGCGGGCTTCTCATTGCGGTGGCTTCTCTCACTGTGGAGCACGGGCTCTAGACACCCGGGCTTCAGGAGTTGTAGCACGAGGGCTCAGTAGTTGTGGCTCGTGGGCTCTAGAGCGCAGGCTCAGTAGTTGTGGCGCATGGGCTTAGTTGCTCCATGCCATGCGGGATCTTCCCGGACCAGGGCTCGAACCCGTGTCCCCTGCATTGGCAGGCAGATTTTCAACCACTGCGCCACCAGGGAAGCCCATGACTGATGTTTTAATCTACTCGATGATTCTACATTCTACCTCTTTCTACAAATGATGGGAAGGGGCAAGTGGTTTTCTTTCTTTCTTTGTTTTTAAATTTTATTTATTTATTTATTTATTTTTGGCTGCGTTGGATCTTCGTTTCTGTGCGTGGGCTTTCTCTAGTTGTGGCGAGCGGGGGCCACTCTTGATCGCGGTGCACGGGCCTCTCACTGTCGCGGCCTCTCTTGTTGTGGAGCAGAAGCTCCAGACGCGCAGGCTCAGTAGTTGTGGCTCACGGGTCTAGTTGCTCCGCGGCATGTGGGATCTTCCCAGACCAGGGCTCGAACCCATGTCCCCTGCATTGGCAGGCAGATTCTCAACCACTGTGCCACCAGGGAAGCCAAAGTGTTTTGTTAACTTATCCTGCCCGGATATTCTAAATTTTCAGAAAAGCAGGAAAACAGATTGAGCCCCTGCAGTAAAGCTTATGACTTTGAAAGGGAAACGGCCTCAGTGTTTCCATGGAGTGGTTCTTTTCCCAGAGGCTGAGAATGCTAATTTCCCAGGAGTCTGTGTGCATGGAGCAGCCTCTGTAGTTAATCAGCAACCCTCTTGGAATCCCCCTGCCACAGGTGTCCCGCCACGGACGGGGACGGGGCCCATGCTGCTCTTCCTGTCAGACACCAACGATGACACGCCCACCCTCTACCCACGGTCTCGATACCTGGAGGTCTGGAGTCTGCAGGAGGCAGGCCCCGCCCCATCGAGGTGGAGGACGGGGCCCAGGAGCCCTACTCCCACCCGTTCACCTTCAGATTGGACAATACGTGGGCAAACACAGAAGACACATGGAGACTGGCGGAAAATCATGGTGAGTATTCGCATTGGTTGGGGATAAAGGATGGAAAAAGACAGAAACCTGACTTCCACAGACTTAAGCAAAAGAGGAATGTGTTAGCTATGTAACCGAGAAAGAGGCTAAGTGAGCCTGTGTCCCAGCAGAGCTGGGGGCCCCGAGGACTTCCTGGAGAAGGCAGCTCCGGACCTTGGCCCTGCCTTTCTCTGGGCCTTTCATCTTAAGGCAGGCTCTCCTCTGGAGGTGGCAGGGTAGCAGCTGGGAGTCCCTGGGACTCATCCTGGCACCTAGCAAGAAGGTGTACCTCACTGCAAGGCTTGAGTTACCTGTCCTGCTCAGCATCGTGGGTGGGGAGGGCAGAAGTGCTGATTGGCTGGTTCTGAGCCCACATCTGGATCTGGCTGGGATCTGGGCTTAGCCTCTCTTGACCCACACAGGCTGAGAGTTCAGGAAGTGTGGGCTCCCCCAAAGGAAAACTGGGGTGCTTTTACCAGGAGGAACCACCAGCATCCAGTGTCAACATCCTATTTTGTGCTTCTATTAACTGGTCTCTAGGATGTAACCTGTTTTTTAGTTGAAACTGTGAGTCCATGTTTATATTTCCCAGACCCAGAGTGTGCTGTAAAGCATTGAAACGTACCCCAAAAGAGGTCTGGTCTTCCGGGAGGTGATCTCCAAGCCCTCGGAATATCCTGCCTGATAAAAGTGTCTCTGCTTACCTAGGGGAGGGGATCTTGTGTCCATCAATAGGAACAATGTGATTTAGAGTGTGGCCTTTGGGTCATGTACGCGTGTGGGTGTCAGTTAATCAGCCATGTGGGTGGCTAACCAGTTTTACAAGACCAAGTTCTGATAAAGACTGTGGACACAGGGCTCGGTGAGCTTCCCTGGTTGGCAATATTTCATGCCAACCATGGTGGTCCTGACTCCATGGGCAGGAGAATTGGAAATTCTGCACTTGATACTTTTCTAAACTCTACCCCATGTACTTCCTCCCTTGACTGATTTGAATCCATATCCTTTCAGTGTAATAAACCCTAACCCTGCGTATACAGTTTCCAGCCAGTCCTGAGTCCTTCTAGAGAATTATCAACCTGAGTGTGGTCTTGGGAACCCCCGAACTTGCAGCTGGTGTCCGAGTGAGGGTCGCTCTGGCGACCCTAACTTCATACAGAGCCTTGGCACATGGGAGGCACCTAGGAAATACCCACCGAGCAGCTGAACAAATGCACAAGTCAGTGCAGCTAAGGTCCCTCTCCCTCTGCAGGTCGCTCAGTGGAACTTATGCTGAGAAGCCTCCCACGTGGTGACTACTTGGTGCCGCTTTTCATCGGAGACAAACAGGGACTTCCCCAGAAGCAGACTGTCCATGTGAAGGTCTGTTCCTGTCCTGGTGGATTCACAAGCGCAGAGCCCCCCGTCGGGAGGCAGGCTCCTCCAGGGGGTCCTGGCCTCTCTCTGTGCAGCGTTCATAGCTCTGGCAGGTCAGCAGATACGGGAGCTACCCTGGGAATGCGGCTCCTCTCCCCAGCCAGGGGGATGAGCCATCGGGGGTGGGGAGCGGATGAGGGCCGAGGTCGGCGCGATGCCTTTGAGAATAACCCCTAGGCTCGTCAGAGGCCCAGACTCAGGTCAGAGGTTGCCACCCCGGTCAGAAATGCTGCCTGCCTGGCAGAGGCAGCTTCTCCTTGGTACACAGCAACTTACAGCCGTGGAACCTATAGATGGACACTGTCTAAGGGCGAGTCATCTGGCACCTGCTTGTGCCCCAAGCTGTGCTAAGGGCTGTGGCTACAAAGGTGCTGACGGCGCACTTGACCCCTGAGTTCATGGCTGAGTTACAAGTTAGCGGCACGGGATCCTGTCGGAACCTCTGATCTAGATGAGCTTGTGCACCTCGTTTCCGCCTTTCTCTCATCACAGCCGCTCTGCTTTTCCTGCTGAGGTGCTATTTTGTGTCTGAAGCCAGAGGCAGGGCTGCTCTATCCCACGTGAGGAAGGCATCCAGACCCTGATCGTGTGGAACGACGGGAGTGGAGCTGCCCCGTCCAGGTAGTGAACTCAGTGCTTGTGTTTCATGTCGATGCGAGTTAGGCACGGCCGTGCTGCTCTCACTTGCTATCCTTTCTCGTTTCGCCATCTCACCATATTTGAGTAGCAAATGGGAAAGCAAGTCCTGCGAAAAATGTCCAACCCCACTAAACTGATTTATTATTTTAGGGCATTGGTTCTCAACTGGGGGTGATATTGCCCCCTGCCCCCAGGGGACAGTGGGCAGTGTGGAGGCATTTTGGTGGTCACAACTCAATTGGGAGTGCAGTGGGGGGATGATGCTTTTGGCGTCTGGCGGGTAGAAGTCGGGGAGGCTGCTGAACATCCTACCGGACACAGGACAGTCCCCACAACAGAGAAGTCACTGGCCCGAGTGTCAGCAGTGCCAAGGCTGAGAAACCTTGTTTAGGAAAAATGACTTTTGCCAGGTGGAGTTTCTCTAAAGGGAAAACATGCTATGCTCCCTAATTAAGTGAGCCCACACTGGTTTCTTGGCCGTGGTGTGGGGTGAAGTAAGGCAGAACCCACTCATGCAGCGTCTCCAGCAGAGGTGGAGCAGAGAGCCTACTGGCCCTGCAGGGACAACCGTGGGCCTTTGTCGCGGTGGGCGAGTCATTTCTGCGCATCCTCAGCTGTGAGCGAGGGAGGATGAAACCAGCCTCACAAGTTGGTTATGGGTCACGGAAGACGAAGCCCATGACAGCACCTCACAAGCCTCCAACACAAGGTGGAATCAGCCAGCGACTGCTGGGTTTTCACACCTGCCGCCTCTGATCCTGGCCCTGCCTTGGCTCCATCGCCCTCGTTAGCAGCTGGGCCGTGAGATACAAGCGCTGTGAGCGCCCCTGTCTGTCTTCACTTCACTCTGAACTAAGGCTGCTTGATCCAAAAGACGAAAGCCAAGAAATGTCAAAAGGGAACACGGCCTTTCACGCAGAAGATCCAGGTTGCCTCATCTGCTGTTGTCTGAGACCTCTACCCTCGGTTTCCTCCTGGAAGGAAGAGACTTAGTGAGATGATTTTGGGAAAAGAGAGTCCAGTTAACTTTGGTCCCTGGCTCGGATGAATAGGGAGATATTCTAAAAGATGATTGGTGGTCGGAGAAGCTGATGGTTGACCAAGACTCCTAGGGTTCTTCCCACATTTTCTCTCCTCTGTTGGCACAAAGGAAGGGGAAGTAAGAGCTTTGGACCACATTGAGAATGCACACACCTGTAAGTCCATGTCTGTGCAGGCCTGCGTTCAGCCCTCCCTGTCGTGGGGACAGGAAGGTAGAGGCATGGTCCGAACTAGCTAGATAGTTGGATTCCCAGAAGGAATGCCCCCTGCCCCCAGCTATGAGAATAGCAGCTACCTGTTTTGATTTGTTTGTGTAATTTTAAGAAGGAAACCATCCTGACGAACAACAGTGCTTTGTGGGACAGATAGAATCCCCTGCCTCAGGCAGTTCTACTCTGCTCTGATGCTGAACCATCCAGGAAAATGGAAAGAGCTCCTGAGCCAAGGGGCTGTGCTTAGCCTCCCACTTGGTGGGTGGAGCTGAGGCTGCCCGGCTGGAAGGAGGCCAGTGGGGAGGGCGTCTCCCCAGGCACTGGCTGAGGGCACTGCCAAGGTGGGAGAGGAGCTGGTGATGCCTCTTCTTGTTGGCCAGCTGCTTAGTGGTTGTCTTTTGGGGAAGGAGGAGCAGCTACAGAAGCAGAGTGTGTGGAAGGGAAGCTTGGTCATTGCAGGGCTAGGCCGGCAGGTTGGAGGGGGTCTGGTGGCACTGACCAAGGGCCAGCTGTCAGAGGGACAAGAGCACCCAATCCGGGACAAGGGGCGTCTAGCTCATCTTGTCCCAGAAGATGTCCTTCCTCTCATCTGCTACTCACAGCCCAGGACACACCCCCGTTCCTGCCACAGTATCTTAGGGCTCTGAGAACTGGGATCCAACAAACCTGGGTTTCGGTTCCCAAACTGTGTCTTATCAGATACAGAATCTAACCAATCCTCGACTTTCATATATAAAGTGAGATCAGTGATGTTCTTTTTCTCTCAAGCTTATTGGACAATTTAATCAAGTAGCACATGTAAATTAGTAATTACTGGTACATAGTGAACAGTGGCTGCTACTACTAGTATTATTAACAGTAATTACCAATTATGTCTTTGTAGCCATTGGTAAATAAGGCTACCCCAAAGTGTCCACGCTCCTCCGTTACCCATCTCCGTTAGCCTGAATATACCAGCCTGCATTCACACACCGGGGACATTGTACACTCCCGGGAAGACTCCTTCATCCCAGATGCCATCACTGATTCCACCCACCTTGTCCTGCTCTGCCGCCGGACACCCCCAATCAAGAGGTTCTGCAGGGTAGCATAGGGGCCTGCCCTCTCTGTGGGGAAGCTGGTGAGCTCTTACAGAAAGAAATCCAGCACCCATCAGCTTCTGAGGCCCTCAGTGAATATTGGTTGAATGAGGAATGGATAAGGCTGCACACAGCACTGCCCAACCGCGGTGACCCCAAGAGCCTTCACTGTGAGTCTTCGAAGAGGATGAGAACAAGCTTTTAGATGCCGAGGCCCTAGTGAAACAAGGCTTTTGGTTTTGTTGGTTGGTTTTTGTTTTTACCATCACTTTACATGAAACACTGAACAGCAAGAAGCTCCACTTCCTAACCAGCAATTACAGAAGCATCCCCTCCCCCCTCCCCCCTCCCCAAGTATGTCCTCTTGCTTCATAGGACAGGTGTATTTTGCACAGCCTGGATGCTTCTGTGATGGCACAGAACAACGCATCTGGGGGAGATGATACTCCTTGCCCTCTGCATTTATTACCGCCATCTATAATTTCAGCTCCTGTCATATTTCTTTCCCTGTGTCCCACAGGAAAGGTCATACGTCAGGGATCAGATGTCAGCCCTGTCCATCAACACAGCCGAGGCAGGTGCCAAGCTGGGAGCTAAGGTAAGTGTGGCTCATTTGCTGCTTGGGTTGAAACAGAGGGGTGGCTTTGCTGATGGTCCCCCTGGTGGGGGACACCCTGGCTGCTCCCCCAGCCCCCAAGCCAGGATGATCCCCTGCGGGCCTGATCCACACCTGCCTCCACCCCAGCCCCACCTGCGATTCTGCTCAAGCTCACATGCCTTCGCCTCCCAGCTCAGGTGTCAGATGACCCAGGGCCCACATTCCAGTCCGTCCAGTGCTACCATTACGACTTTTTGCCACATGCAGATGCCACTTGCACTAGTGTATTAAAAAACTTGTTTTTCTTTAAATGGACCTGCATACCAATGAAATACACTTCTTTAAATAGGAAATTTTATATTTCAACTGTAAATGAAAACCCAGTTTTGCTTGTGTAAAGAGCAGGTAAGTGCTCATAGAAATAGAACCCAGTAATTCCAGGTAGAAAATGTGGAAGGAGAGAGAGAGCCAAGCCAGGCTGGCACCCGATGGAGACTTTCTCCTGTTGTCATTAGGAGTATGGAAGAGGAATTAGAAGGGGACTAATTTTCTTGCTGTGCAATTCAATGTCATTTAAAACCCTGTTCCCGAACTGGCTGAACCTTCCCTTCTCTAAGAGGACGATGATCCCACTTTGAAAAAGAGCGAGTTGACGCAGGGCTGCCGTCATTTATTGGGCAGGTGCCTGGCTGGGGTGAGCAGGTCCAGGTCCAGAGGGCATCTGCCCACCAATGCACGCTCCCAGGGGAAGGGAGTGCAGAGACTCCTGGGGGTCTGGCGGGGGCCTCTCTTTCCTTAACTGGTCTGTAAGCTTCGGGAGGCCAGAGCATTGCTCCTGGTAAGCACGCTAAGAGCTCTGATCCACTGAGCGTGCCCTGGGGTTTGCACTCTACGAGCATAATCCCACTGCATTTTCACCAGACCCGTGCAGGAGGGGAGGACACCAAGGCCTGTGGCTTCTATTTCTTGGAGTGTCTCTGGGCCCCCTTTATGATGTCCTGCAAATAGTCAGTGCACCTGTGGTGGCTGGTTGAGTCGACAGCCATTCACATACTTTCCCTAAGTGAAGTTGTCACTTATGATTTATGAGGTAACCTGATATTTTAAAATCTGTGACAAGACATGAACTATCTTAAAACTGTTGCTAAGGACCATTGCCTGCTTTATTTTCTTTGACATTTTATTGCATGATTGAAGGGCTTATATTAAAATAATAGAAACCCAAAGCAAAAATTGTCCACACTCCTATCCCTAAATCTAAGCAATTTCATTTGTCTGTGTTACCCTCTAGATCTTGTCCGCGGGCATATTCAATTGTCAGGTGTCTATAACGTCATCGGTAGAATGTTAGAATCTACGTCTTCAAGTCACATTGGGGCATGCAGTTCCGTTTCACTATAGTCCCTTTTCCTTGCTTCTCTCCACCTTTCCTTTTCTACTCCCACTGCACCACCTCCCCCATCATAATGCCAGTTTTATTTGCATGTGAGTGTCTGAGCAGGGAAAGGTGTGCCTTCGTTTTCAACTGGAGGGAGACGTGTTGCCTTTGGAGTTTCCCCCAGTGTTTTCCCCCAGGATTTAGGCGAAATGCTGCCATCTTTGCCAAGTGCATCAGACCAAGTCCACTTCGTGCTGGGGACTCTGGTGAGTTCCACAACCTCACTCCCTCCTGCTGGGACTTCACTGATGACTGACAGCTGGTTCCCTTGAGAGGCGGCCCTTCTAGAAGATTCTGTGATATGGGTAGAACAAACACATAGTCAGTGAAAACCTTCTCATCTGTCTACCTAGTTATTGTGATCGTTGGTTGTTACTGAGTTGTTATTTGATAGTGCAGATCAAATATGACGCTTCTCAGAACAGCCACAGATAGATACATTTCCGTGTCCATCTCTTATAGAGATCATCTGTAAGATCAAGAGCAATGGCCTTGACCCTGGGCAAATTCCAGCCCAGTGATTCCATACCTCCTGCCAAATTGAACCCCAATTCTCCTTTATACACTCCATGTACAAATTCTACAACTATGGCTTTGCTTTTTAACATGACTTTTCAGACTCACAAGAAGTTGTAAAAATAGTTCAGAGAGTTTCTGTGTACCTTTCACACAGCTCCCCCCAAGAATAACACTGTATATAACCATAGTATGCTTTCAAAACCAGAAAACTGACTGTGGTACAACACTATTAACACAGGTCTCAAACACAGACCTTATTTGGACTTCACTAGTATAACTAGCTATTATTTTAACAAAAAATTTACTTTTCTGACAAGAACTAAACAAGGTTCTCAAGGTCCAAAGAGCCACAGTTTTTATGATGGAAACTTCTAAAAAATAATTCAAGATCTCTATAATTCATTATCTTTTCTCAGGCTGAGTTTGCGCCAAGATTAAAAATGTGCTCTTCTTTTTTGCGCAGACATGGTGCCATGAATCCTTGAAAGGGCGTGTGCATGATAGGTGTGTCGCTCTGGTCCCGGAAGGGCCAGCTTCACAGGCGTGGAACCCGGTCAGTCCCACAGGGCCCTGTGCTCAGAAAGGCCCTGTGCTTGGTTAATGCTCTACGGTCACCATCCTGAAATTCTTCATATCTGGACAAGGGGCTCACATTTTTATTTTGCACTGGGTGCTGCAAATTATGTAGCCAGTCCTGAGTCTTAGGGGTTGCGTGCGTCTCATTCACAGACTTTGAGGCCATGCTCAGGGCACAAAATGAGTCTTATGGGGATTTTGTGGACCCAAGATGGGGCTCGAAAATCTTATACTCTCATGCTCCATCCCCACAAAGCAACTATAAAACTCACCCATGGATTTCAGCTATGAACACCTACATGGCTATCGTTAGAATTATTATACCTTTAGCACAGAAACAAAAGGCAATATGATTACAAGAATTTCTGGCTATGTGTTTGTATCCTTGGGTAATTTATATGAAACCAGTGAACACTTCATTCTTTTTACTTGAATTAATTAATTTTTTAAAAATTTAAGGGTCATGGCATGTTTTTTGATCCAAGAAGTGTGAGAAACAAATAGCCTCCTCCTGTAAGTACAGATGAAGATGTTATCATGAAAAGAGTTACCTTACTGTCCTGATAGCCATGGGAAGCTCTGAAAATGGGAAACTGGGAAGGGAGGAGGTGAGAAAAAACATACCCAACCAATATCCAAATAAGCCAAAAGAAGTGAATGTGGGAAACAGATGAGAAGTAAATAAAGTACCTACATCTAGACTTGAAAGCATCAGAGTTTTTCAGTTCCTGGCAAATTTCTTTTGCTGCTGAGAAGCTAAGAACTTGGTGAAGGCCTGAATATTCTTTTGCTTTGATTCTTTACAGATTTATAGAAGTTTTGAGCTAAGGGGGCCATAGAAGCCATCTAGTCCATCTTTTCCCTAAACCTTACTAGCAGCAGAATCCTTCCTTACAAATGAGATCCTACAAAGAATGCCATTATAAATAAAACAGAAAAGAGTTGTTTTTTATTAGTACCAATTTTGAAGTACATTAACATTTATAACATATACATATTACCAAAGCAACAAATAAAAAATAGTGATTTGGTTGAAAACAACAACAAAAAAGAAGTTAGGTATTTGGAGGAAGTTTGCAAAATTTTACCTTAGCACCTAATTCATTGCCTCACATTGTTGAAATTAGTTCTTAAAGTATCAAGAAAATTTCAATTCATGCCAATAAGCAGTTTCAAATATTTTTTAGGGAGCTCAATTTATCATATCAGGTTCTCTTTGATTCAGCAAACAAGAGACAAAAAGCATCATTCAAGTTTCATAAAAGCAAATTATAAAATTTTTGCTTTTATTAACATGTTGGGGGGACTCAGTGTAAAAGATGTAAACCCTTCTCCATTATATTAGAAAAATAACATTAAGTATTATTATTAAAATAATTTTCCCTGAAATGAAATTCAAATACTCTTGCCGAAGTATCTTTGAGAACTCATAGGTCCTGGGGACACAGCTGAAGCCAGGGTCTCACTGCAGAGAGGCCGGGTGAAGGGAAATGGTGCTGTAGGCCAGAGTGGACACACACGGGGCAAAATGCAGCAAAATTCAGCATATGGTAGGCCCTAAAATTGGCTCAAGGCAAAATCGACCCCGAGTTTGGAGACTGGTGCAGCCTCTTCCACTGCCCGGAAAGGACCGTGGTGTCTGACCCGTGAGCACGTTGGAAGAAGGGCCTATGTCTCTGGGATCGTCCTCTTAGAGGCCCACGGGAGCCGGAGGGTGGCCAACTGAGGGCACAGCATCTCTGGGCAGCAGGTCCTCAGGGCTGTTTGTAGGGGTCACCCCTTGCTCTCTCTTTGGCTAAGTGTGTTTAGTTCAATTCACAATGGTGTGGTGTGCTGCATTTATGTATATAGGTAGATATGTGTACAGATAGGGGTGTGTGTGTGTGTGTGTGTGTGTGTGTGTGTGTGTGTGTGTATCCTCATGGACATGTAAAATTATTCCAAGCTTTACAATTTTTTTACATACATCTTCTGGAGTGCACTAAGTACCCCTAAACCCAGGGGTTATCAGAAGTAACTTCAGCCATAAAGCCATCAGTGTTTTAGAAACACAAATTGTATCATGTCACTCTCCAGTTTAAACCTTCCCAGCGGCTGGCCAATGCCCTGTGATAATCTGCAGCCCTGAGGCCTAAGGCCGTGTGGTGGCCTCTGTCCTCCGCCTGCAGATCTGAGCTCCCGCCAGCCTCCAGGCCTCTGCTGGCCCTTCCTTCTCCCTGGCTGCTCTGCTCCTGTCTCCTGGTCCTGCTCCTGAGAGGTCCCCAGGCTCAGGCTGGGTGAGGTCTCTCTTGCACCTTCCACGATCATCACTGTGTTTCTCTCACCCTGGGTGCTGGCCCCGTGCCTGCATGAGCCCAAGAGTGAGGCTGCCTCGCCTTACCCCGTGCGGGCCTGACTTACATGATACAGTTGGGGAATCTGTGGGTTCCCAGGCAGCCCCCACATGGTGCACGCTGAGTCCATCTCCTCACTGCTCTAGCCCACTCCTCAGCCGGTACCCCAAGACCCAGGTCCATGAGCACTTGCCCGGTGAATGAGTGGAGGGCGGCACACCCACTACCACACATGAGGTGCGGCTGACCCAGCAAGGACAGGAAGAGGAGAAATTAGAACCTGGGGAAGAGCCATGCGGTCGGGGGAGCAGGAAGTGGGATAAGGTTCCCTGTGGGAATCAACTGTTTGCTAAATCTCATTTGTGGAATGGTCCCAAACCCCACTGGCCAGGCTTGCTCGGCTCACTTCTTCCCTAGAAGCCAAGGTGTTGAAGGGTCTATCAGTCAAAACTGGCAGGGCCTGCCCTCTCTCCCACCACACACGTAGGTGACATCTGATCAAACTGCCCTTGGCCCGCTGTCCCTCAAGGAGAGCTCTGACAGCCCTCCGCCCAGTGGTGGCCCCCTGTGTGCTGGCCAGAAGAGGCCATCAACTTGGGGGAGGCTGTGAGTCCTTGGTGGTGTTAGGACTCTGCTTCTTTGCTTCGTAGGTTTACCTGGATACTGTGGTGCCCAGAGGACCCCTGGAAGTGCGGGTACGAGTGATGGCAGGGATGCTGAGTCAGGTAGGAAGGCCCCTCCTTGGTGGTGAATGGGTTCTGCTTCCCCATCTGGCCCCACACTGACCTGGGGCCACTTCCTCCTAATCACCGTGTCAGTCAGCTTGGCTGCATAACAAAATACCACAGACAGGCAGCTTAAACAGCAGACTATTTTTCTCACAGTTCTGGAAGCTGGAGGTCTGAGATCAGGGCACCATCATGGTCAGGTTCTGGTGAGAGCTGTCCTCCTGGTTCACAGACGGTCACTGTCATGCTGTGTCCTTATGTGGCAGAGAGAGAGGGAGAGAGAGCAAGTTCTCGGGTGTCTCTTCTTATAAGTACTCTATTCCCGTCGTGAGGGCCCCACCCTCATGACCTCATGTAACCTTAATTACCACCCAAAGGCCACACCTCCAAATGTCATCACATTGGGGGTTAGGGCTTCAACACAGGAGTTTGGGGGGACACAATTCAGTCCATAGCAAGTGCTTTCATGGGAATCCTCATTCCAGGGGCATTTCTGCAGATCAGCACAGCCTCAGACAACAGTGAATGGTCTCTCTTTCTGTGAAATTATGAAAGATGTGGGCTGACTGTGCTGGAGGGAATTATTGGACAATGACATTGTCTCTCCTGGAAGGTTCCTCAACACAGCCACCCTCTATTCTTGGGCAAATTAAACAGTGATTTGGGAGTTAGGGCAAACGCATGGGTAGTTTAAATGGAAGGGGCTGGAGCAGGTGCTGTGGAGAGACGCTCTCTGTGTGTGCCTGCCCCCAACCCACGCAGGGAGGGACGCACACAGAGGCTTCAGGTGCTGCTTCCGACCCTAAGGAGCCCCATACGTTGCAGGAAAGTTGGGGCTCAGACCTGTGAAATAATAAGTGCAAAGGAATAGATCAATGCTTGGTGGGCGTCGTCTGCCAAGAGTTACTTTACTTGGCAAAGTCGTGGATGATAATCACTGCGTACCAGGCCCTGTCCTAAGGATTCAAAAGGTATTAACTCAGTTCTTGCATCAGCCCACCAGGGCAGGTTCTATTATTTTCCTTATTATAAAATGAGGAAACTCAGGGACAAAGAAATTAGGTACCTCATTCAAGACCAGTCTGTAGAAACGTCTGCGACAGTGGGGACAAGGCCCTGCCCACCATGGCACTTACCTTCTCTCGTGGCTCCCCTGCAGCAGCTCGGTGGTGCTGACATCCCCAAGGGAGACCCTGGTTACCCACCTCACGTCTATGCAGAGCAGGGCAAGTGTGAGCGAGTAGAGACCCGCAGTTCTCTCGCCTTCTCCGAACATGACCTGTCGCCCGACTTGCTGGACTCTTTGGGGCCAAAGGCTGCTCCACTCGAAGAGATATATTGAGTCAGGTTTTTGTTTCTTAAAAACTGCATATTATGGTGAACTGGAATAACTCATGAAGGGGAAATCACTATTCTAGAATGTTTCTTCCTTACTTCCTTTTTTAAAAAATTACCTTCTAGTTCTTGAATGAGGTTAAACTGAGTCTGGATTAAAGGCTTGGACATTTGCAGACCAGACATCTTGAACCAAAGTGGAACAGCAGGTTATACTTTTTAAAAATTTGATTTGTCAGGCAGATTTTCTAGAGAAACTTGAATTGTGTAATTCCTTGCTTCAGCTCATGGAAGCAGCTCATGGCTGCTCATAGCCCAACTCTGAGGGTAAATAAAATATAATCCACTGATTACCCCCAGCTATTTGGGAAAAACTGGGGAAACAGATTTTTTAAGTGCTTATTTAAATTTCTATAATTATGATTCTGCTTCAGTTTAAGTGAAAAATGGGGAAATGTTTTCTAGAACATTTGTGATCAGTATTTTTAGTGATTTTTTAAAAAACATAAATATTAATCCCATTGTACTTTTTGAGTAGATAAATAGATAAATATTTTATCATGAGAGAAATGATTATACTTAAAATTTGTGAGCAGTACATACTAAAAAAACCAAACTGACATAATTTAACTTGCATGTATTATGTAAGTAAAATAACTTTGGAGCCTTTGAGTGAATAAATTCTGATTAAATTTTATCTATGCACAAAACCACAAACTTTAATTGATTTCTACATGTCCACCTACCACTAGTGTAAATTGTGGGGGAGGGGATAGTTTCCTTTAAATATCTAAAAAAATGTAAATAGTAGGACATGTGCCCTACATATACTCAGTTTTCTTGTCTGAGTAATAGATAAGAAACTGGCTAAGCAGAATTTTAAATGCTACCAGGACACTTTAATGTATATATTAGATATCTAAAAGCCTGTGGCAAATTCTACAAAATTTATATAATTAATGAGCATAGTCTTTTGTTAGTCCCCTCTTGAACCTGAGGGATAAATCAGGAGACGCACATTTATGTCAAATCAGTGAAATGCTATATTAAACCTAAGTTTTAGCTGACGCAAGCTTAAAACTTTCCCTTTCTTTATAAAGAAGCTGTGCAAATGCTTACTTTAAAGAGATCTCAAGAGTTTGTACATAGTTATTTCATGTATCACCTAGTGCTTTGAGTAACTGAAAAAGAAGAAAAACCATCTCCAAAGCATTGGAAAGTCTAAAGCTGACTCACAGTCGTGTAGAACAGCTATGCTAATGCTGGAATGATTCCGAGGAGAGTATAGGACATTTTCTGGGTAATTCAGGATAACAGTAATATCTTAGGACAGTATACTTTTTGAGTCTGAATGGTTGCTAAGGGTCAGTAGGTGGTCACTGGACCTTCCTGGATCTGAGGCAAGGGACAGAAAACTATGGCCATGGGGTAGATGTGGCCCACCATCTGTTTTTGTGAATAAAGTTTTATTGGCACACATCTGTGCTCATATGTTGTTTAAGGGCGTCCATGACCCCTTTGCGCTGCCTTAGCAGCGCTGAGTAGTCACGATGGAGACGTATGGCTCACAAAGCCCAACACATTTACTTCCTGGCCCTTTAAAGAAAAAAAGTATGCTGACCCCCTTGTCTAAGGCATTCTTTTTGGGAACCCCACATTTGTAACAAACGTATTAAGATATATCCATACTCTGTGTTAAAAACAAATACATTGCCATACAATTAAGGAAGGTTTTAGATAACTTTGCTTTTGGCTATGCGTAACTTGGCTCATTTACTAATGGTTATGAAATCTGGGCAATTGTGCGTATTTGTGAATTCTTGCATTATGAGGCTCTCTCCAACTAATTGTTCTCAAAAGTAATAAAATACTCATGAAAAATTCATGAATCCCAAATTTAACACTTAGCAAGAACAAAATGTTATATTTTGTAGGTACTTAATTAGACGTATTAATTTTGATTTTGCTGCTTTCTTTGTGTATTTTGAATCCTATATATATGTTTTCTTAGGTCTCAAGCCTTTGGGATATATTGTCCAGTGGAGACACTGGCCCTGTTGGCATTTTATGAAGCATACCTGGCATGTAATACTTTGACTCTCCCCTTTAGATGCCAGACTATATTATATATTATCACCTGTCCCAACTGATGTCTGCAGGGAACATTCTTGGATGTTGGCCGGTTCTCCCCACAAGTTCATTTTCAAGTCTATCTACATGCTTAGAAAGGTTTCCATTAGAAACATCAGCACCAGGAGGTTTTGGAAGAAAATGTTAGCCTCCAGTGGAATTTATGTACACTCATGAACTAAACGAAGTCTTACTAATGGCAACGAAGAAGGCAATAAAACAGAAATAGTAAATATTTTCCTAGAAAATGTGATTTTATTAAGAACATTAGCCTCCAAATTACTTAGCAATCCAAAGATAGCTGCCATCTCATAAGTTAAATATTTATTTTGCATTTCATCAATTTTGGGTTTCCATTTATATTAACGGTCTCATTGGCTTTATGGAGTTTTTCATCAGAGGAGTTTGTTTTGCTTACTTTTATGATTTACTAAACACAGAAGCTATCCTGGTTGTTAAAAACTTTTCCAAGTGAGGGACTTCCCTGGTGGCCCAGTGGTAAAGAATCTGCCTTCCAATGCAGGGGATGCAGGTTCAATCCCTGGTCGGGGAACTAAGATTCCACATGCCGTGGGGCAACTAAGCCCACGCACCACAACTAGAGAGAGAGAAGCCTGTGCACCACAGTGGAGATCCCGCACGCCGCGACTAAGACCCAACGCAGCCAAAAATAAATAAAATAAATAAGTATTAAAAAACTTGCCCAAGTGAAACACTAACCCAGGAAATCTTATTTTATGTACTTGTAAAGTAGGCATAGCAACAGTCCCCTCAAAGATGGCATGTGGGCAGAAGACTGCAGACCTTGGGTAGTCATTGTCTCTCCTGAAATGTGTGTGTCAGAGGCCAAACAAATCTGCCATCAGGAAGAAGGAAGAGGAGAAAGAATGCTGGAGACATAAAAACAGGAAAGACTTGTCCTTTCATTTCTCCCAGCATGAGGACACTGGTGCTGGAATGGCTGCAGCAACTGCTAATTGTCTCAATATCTGTCACCTCTCCTTCCTCAATAGAAGAACCCTGAATTTTTGGCCATCGAGAATGGGAATGACATTTCCCACCCTCCCTTGCAGCCAGGTATGGCCATGTGACTACGTTCTGGCCAATGGAAGGCAACTTCCAGGAAGTGTCCTTGAAGCATGGAGATGTAGACTCATCTCTTCCCCCTCTTCTCTTCTACTGGCTGGAATGAGAATGTGATGGCTGGCACAGGAGCAGCCATCCTGGACATTGTCGTTAGAGCTGACGCATGGTACACCAACAGGATAGAAGGGGTGGAGGTCTCTGACACCGGGGAGCCCTACTGGACCCATCCCGGGACTCCCTTACTCTGGACTCAAACTGAAAGAGAATTAAATATGTCTTGTTCAAGCCCATGCCATTTTGGATTTTCTGTCACTCATGGCCAAATCTAATCTTAACTGATACAAAATATAGGACCAAGATACGCAAGCTGTAAGTAGCAGAGCTGAAACTTGGGGCAGTGGCTTATGGATGCGGCCGGGGGCAGAGACTCAGATAGTGGGGGCTAGAGGACAGGTGACCCACATCGTGCAGAAACAAAGCATTTGCTAACAACTCTCCTCTGTTGTTTTTTGAAAAGCAGCCCTTGCTCTGAACAAGGATTGAGGAAGGAAATGGTAGGAGAAATTCATAATGCAGAAATGCATTAGCTGCTTCTCACTGCTTACAGCAAAGTCCCACAAAAGAGATGGACGTGGGTGACGGCTGGCCAGGGCGGGTGTGGCATGAAAGGTAAGGCAGCTATGCTCGTGGAGACCATCTCTGCCTGAAGCCCGCAATCTAAATTGACTGAGAACTGGGTAATTTGGAGGCTTGCAGGGTTGAAAAAAGCAACCGCTGCATCTCTCAGATGACATCAATCATTGGAAAGGTTCTGTGCAAAGCAGTGCACTTAGTGGAAAATAAAACTAGTGCCCCGTCCTACCAATTTGTAAGACTTGTGGCAAAAGTCACTTTAAGGATGTTGCCTTCCTACCCAGGCCTGTTGCTTCAGGTGACTCAAGGTGGGCGGTGCCATTGTGCTGAGGGACAGGAGACGTTGGCCAAGCGAGCGTGGAGGCCAACAAGGACAGGCCAGACGCTCCAGGGTTATAAACTATGTCTCAACAGAGAGAGCTGGCTGGAAACAAATAGATCAGAAATCTTTACGTTTCTGAAAAAATGCTTTGCCAAAGAAACCACAGCATGGTCTGAAAAAGCCTGTGATTGTTCAACCCCAAAGCAATCCCTGAAAACAAGGAGCAAGCTGTGAAAACCACGCAGGTCCCAGGAAGGGCATCCCCTCCGGTACCCACGCCAGTCAGCTGTGGCAGGGGAGACAACAGCAAGCACGCAGGTAGGGGCCGGGGGCGGCGACGGCTGCAGAGGTGTCTTCACTGTTCCTGCCTCCAGGATTTGCTCATGTGTATGGATCAATGATAATTGTGTTTATTAGTTTGCTTTTCTCCAAATGGGCATTTTTATCACAGGCGTCTTACTGTTCTTACTTATCTACCTTATGTTGGGTGTATTGGGAACCAAGAACTTATTATTTAGTTTGTAGGTTGTAAAACCACGAAGAACCTCATCCATATCTGTTGGAGAGGACTGTGCTTTACCCTGGGATCTTGGATTGTGAGCCAGATGCAGTAATTGGGTGGGGCTTTGCACTTGGTTCCCTTGGGGTGTGTGTGGGAGGGGTTCTGTGTGTAGAAGAAGGGCAAGCAGATATGTGGGCGGCCAAAGCATGGACGGCTGGGGAGACTACTGTCCCCCAACCCCCATTGCCCCTTCTTTCCTTCTTCCCCAAGTTTGAGCGAGGGCTACGGCTTCCTCAGATGAAAATTACGTCTCCCAGCCCTCCTTGAACTAGATGTGACCAGGTGACCGTGTTCTGGCCAATGGGACTCACGTTGCAGAAGCAGAAGCATGTGTGCAGGTGCTGAGATGGGTCCTTGAGGAGAACGGGATGCCTCTTTCCAGCCCTCTCCTCTCCCTGTAGGCTGGAACATGGCTGTAAAAGCAGACTATCGGGAGACCTTGGGAACGGAGGCTTCCGACCATGGGGTAATGTGTTAGAGCCTCATCCCTCACCCTGGAGACCATGAGAGCCTGAATCATCTCACTTTTTACAAGAGAGAAATAGACACTTGTCTCTATTTATAGGGGGTTCGTGTTCTGTCATTCACAGCCAAACTTCGTACTAATTAACTCAGGTTACATAACCTAAAAAACAAACCAATAAATAGAAAAAAGAGTGACATAACAAAATATGTGCATTATGCTTCAGAGTAATTACCTTGTGTGGTTAATTTTATTCATTGAACAGATTTTTTTCCATTATGTTCAAATATTTGTACAATGAATGTTTCATTCTTCCCTGTGCTGCGTGATGGCTTAATATAGTTCTAAAATTATTTTCCAAAACGGTTGTCACTACCCCGTGGCAAGACTCTTTTAAATATCCTCTTTTCTGCCCACACAGTATCATTTTGAGCTTGGGTCTGATCTCTGGAAACTGCCGAAAGGCGTTCAGGGCCTCGCCGGGTAAGCAGGTGAGGGATCAGCCTGAGTGCCAGCACTGTGGGCTGGGAATGGGGCTGAAGGTGGAGGATGGGGCCCACAACCCGTAAAACGGGCATCGCTGTGCAGCTGGGCCAGGTGAGCTCAATCAACTTTATTCTTTAGTTCTTGCCTTGTGATGTTCAGAACCCCCTAGGATTCTGTGGCACAATGAATTCACATACCTGGAGAGGTGGTGTTACCAGGATGCTTGTGTCAACCGAGATGGTGCTATGTCTGGCAATCAGGAAGATCCACACATAGATCTGAACCCATGAAGGAGGCCTTCACCAGGGAAAGGTTGGTGAGCATTTCCCGGGTTTGAGGAATGATATCGCCAAGGTCCACTGTTCAGGGTCTCCAGACCCTGCAGTTTCCATTTTAACTAATCATTTACATAACTAATTGAGGGAAAAAAAGAATGATTTTATTGTTATTCTTGTTCACATCGTCCTAATGAACCACCTCCAACAGCTGAAATTCACTCTATATTTTGCAGTCTCTGTGGGGAGAAGCCCAGTTTAATGAAGTCAGCAGCCACTGAGAGCTCTAGGAGGCTGTATTTTAAAGGCTCCTTCCACAGGCCAGTTGTCCCAGGGCGATTTTGCTCCCAGGGACCCTGGGTGATGTCTGGAGACACTTTGGTTTTTACGACTTGGGAGAGGGTGCTCCTGGCAAGGGGTGGGTAGAGCCAGGGATTCTGCTAAACGTCCCACAGGGCACGGGATGGTCCCCACAACAGAGAATGATCCAGTCCAGAAGGCCAGCAGTGCCAAGGTTGAAAAACGCTGCCCTAGACCCACTGAGACCCGCTCTGAAATACCGTGCGGACGGCAAGAAGCTAATGGCCTCTGTTTTAAAAGAACTTCCTCTCTGAGATGAGCTGAGAGGCATGATATTAAGCGGTGCAGTAAACTGTGTATCTCGAGGGCTCCCTCTGGGCCAGGGCTGCCACCCTCACACGACTTACCCTGGGTTGACACTGTCCTGTCATCAAAGTGCTCTTAAGCCACTGCTTGCAGGGACTGAAAACAGAATAAAGATAATTAGACAGGAGTTGCTTGCCCCTGACCAAAATCAACCTAGAGTAGACAGAACTCATACGTTAAATGCTTTCAACCCAGAAAAATGAACTCATTGTGCTAAACACTGCTTAACAGGAAGTCTACGTGGAATCTTTTAGAGTTCTCAGAGCCCAGAGGCAGGCACAGGCCCGCAATGGGACACGTGGTCTGAAAAAGGGTCCGGCTCCTGGCCATGCAGGGCTCTGCCACCCCCTTGCTGGAGACTTCCCCAGTCTGGGCATCAGCATCTACTTGTAAGACTGAGGGTTCATTTTGGTGGATGGTTTTCCCACCTGAGTTCCCCAGAGTCTCAGCATTTTCAGGGACACCAGTGTGACCCAGAATCAACTATGGCAGAGGAACTTTGGTCTGTTGGTATTATAGGTATCTGTCTGTATGTCTGTCTTTCCACAAGCATCTCTTCACCCTTCCTCTGGGAAAGCACATATGGGAATTCCTATGGGCAGTTCCCTTTCTCTTCATCCCCTGCTCACATGGGCTCTAGGGGTGGATCATGAATGACCTAAGCTAGTTAGCATAGCAACCATAATTGGCTCAGAGATGAGCATGTCAGCCAATCTGAGCCAATGAGGGTCAGGCCGAGTTCTACTCAAGTCTTTGGGTAGGGCTGGAACCTGAGTGGGTATAAGTGCAGGGGCAGTTCCAGCCACTTTGCAACCATGAGGGGAAGCTGCAGAGCTTTGGGGGCAGAGGGCACCGCATCAGGCAGTATGAAGGGGAGCTGAGATGAGAGGACAGAGCCTGGCTCCTAATAACCTTGCTTTGGTCCTGCACCAAGTTGTGACTCCACAACTTCCCCTGGACAATTACCTGTACTGATAAGGTTACTTTTGTGCCTAATTCAGGTTTTTAGAAACCAGCCTGAGTAAGAAAATTTCCTCAAATGAAATGACTTGCTTCAAAAGTTTTAACTAGGAGTCAAACTTTCCCAGAGACCCCTCCTCGTGAGCTACTCCCCCTGCTTTGAGTGGCTTAAAGGGACAGTGTTGTTGAGTTGGGCCACAGCCGACAGGGGCTGCATCAGAATATTTATGAGGAAATGATGAAACCAAGACTAGCAGAGCCTGGGAAATGGAAACACCGGGCTTTGACCCAAATGCCCCCTTTCAAGAAAGTTCTTTATTGTCACGGAGGTTTGAGTCTCTATATTTGTGCATGTAATAGATTTCTCCTCCTTAGAAAGATTTGGTTATGGATTCAGGCATCTGAAATTTAATACTTGAGAGTTAATTGAATTTAATTAATTATTTGTAAAAACTTCCTCATGTTCTTTAGATGAAAGGAAGGTAATATTCATGAAATTCTGTTTGTAATTTCCCGTCTGTCGCATTTTGTGAGCAGCTTTGCGAGATATGCAAGGTTCTTTGGAAGAAAGTCTGAGGGAGAGCAGGAAGGGGACAGGTGAGAGGGCTGCATGATTCCTGCCCTCACTCTGGGTGTTCATCAGGGGCTGGGAGGTAAGCACTGTCTTTGTATTTTCACCTTCCAGATCTGTCTTTTTGAAGATTTTATTTCCTACTTTGGAAGCATATTAACTTTATCATGTGATTTGTAAATCAATACCCCCAACAGACAGCTGTCTGCTTCTCTTAGCACTTTTTTTTTTTTTTTTTTTTTTTTTGCGGTACGCGGGCCTCTAACTGCTGTGGCCTCTCCCACTGCGGAGCACAGGCTCCGGACGCGCAGGCTCAGTGGCCGTGGCTCACAGGCCCAGCCGCTCGGCAACATGTGGGATCTTCCCAGACCGGGACACGAATCTGTGTCTCCTGCATCGGCAGGCGGACTCTCAACCACTGCGACACCAGGGAAGCCCCTCTTAGCTTTTAATAACATTGGTGACATTTAGTGGAAGACTTGACTCATTCTATAAGTCAGTTTTTAATATGGAACAAACACTGAGTTGTTCCTCAAAAGCCGTACAGGCTAAGAACAATTTAAAAATAATTTAACAGTATTATAATTCAATGACTATAATTATTAAAATGCTACCATATAGGCCTGAGTGTTGCAATGAATGGGAGAAGTTGGAATGAGAAATTAACCCTGAAATTAATTTCTATGTTAGGGAAGTTAGTGCAACAGCTTTAACAGATAAATCCACAAATTCCATTAACCCAACAAAGGTTTATTTCTCATGTAGGCAAAAGCCAGTAACTGTACAATTTGGGCCTCCAAGTTTGCTGCGGCAGGGAAAAGATGAAGAAATCACAGTGGCTCTTAAATTCTATGGGCCAGAATTTAAGGGAGGCTGTGAGACGGAGAGGAACACATGGATGCTGAAAGCACATTACCTCTCCACCACCGTGAGATGGATTTCTATTCTTGTGTTTGTTAGTCAGAAACTGAACTTGAGACTCTGATTGATTGATTGATTTAAACAACACAATCTAATTCAATCTTTTTCTTCGTTTTTTAAAATTTATTTATTTATTTTTGGCTGCGTTGGGTCTTCGTTGCTGCGCACGGGCTTTTCTCTAGCTGTGGCGAGCAGGGGCTGCTCTTTGTTGCAGTGGGCAGGCTTCTCATTGCGGTGGCTTCTCTTGTTGCAGGGCACGGGCTCTAGAGTGCACGGCTTCAGTAGCTGTGGCTCGCAGGCTCTAGGGCACAGGCTCAGTAGTTGTGGTGCACGGGCTTAGTTGCCCCGTGGCATGTGGGATCTTCCCGGACCAGGGCTCGAACTCATGTCCCCTGCGTCGGCAGGCGTATTCTCGACCACTGCGCCACCAGGGAAGCCCCTGATTTATTTTTTTGGCCACGCCGCACGGCTTATGGGATTTTTGTTCCCTGACCAGGGATCGAACCCGGGCCCTTGGCAGTGAGGGTGTGGAGTCCTAACCACGGGACTGCCAGGGGATTCCTGGCAGGCTTAGATGGTGGAATTATGAAGAACTTGAATGCAGCCCTAACATATTTCCGACCCTGGTGTCCCACAGAGGATGAAAACACTGTGTATGGAAGACATACTGTAGGTGTTTAGAACATCTGCTGTGGTTTGGGAAAAGGCCAGGGCTTGAAATCAGCTCCATCATTCACCTCCTTTATGATTAAGTTTATTCAACACTTTGAGCCTTTGTTGCTTTGTCTGTAAAGTGAGGAAAACAATAACCCCTCTCTTGTAGGTTTTCGAGAAATCATTGGTATCACCATCATCAACATTCTCATCACCATTACTACCACCAGCTTCACCATCACCATCATCACCATCACCATCACCGTCTCCACCACCACCATGACCATCACCGCCATCACCATCATTATCACCGTCTCCACCATCACCATCACCACCACCACCATCACCATCATTATCACCGTCTCCACCATCACCATCACCACCACCACCATCACCACCACCACCACCACCATCACCACCACCACCATCACCATCATCATCACCGTCTCCACCATCACCATCACCACCACCACCATCACCACCACCACCACC